ACTTAAGTTATTCAAAGAGAAGCAAACTTACAGCCAATTGAGCATGCTACATAACCATTTATCAGGAAGTTGATCGGGTTTTGTCCCGAAGGGTAGAAGGCGCCATTTCTGACAAATGTCACAGCACACCCATTCATCAACAGGAGCCACCCCTGCTGCTGGTTCGGCCACCTTCAAGGATTTAGACGATTTGATTCCACTGTCATATAGGCCGTCGAGCCTCTGTAAGTCACCGGAGGCCCTTTCAATTACATCCTTACTTTTACGGTTTTCATCTAACCCCATGCGGTTAAAAGAATCCCCATTGTTTGTTCCTACTTTCTCATTGCTGTGTAGTTTTAACCTGTGCTTTCTATTTTCAGATTCTGGAGTGTCAGAATCAGTGTCCTTTCTACCTTTGAATGCTTCACTTCTATTCTTGAAGCCTTCCTCAAATGAACCAGCTATTTTCCCACCAGCAGTCTGTATAACTTTCGAATTCTTCTCACCAACAATTCCGGGCTTTTCTTTCTTAATCGATGCTTTGTCTTTGTCTGTTTCGTGTAGTGTAGGTTTACGAGAAAGCTTCTTCTTTTGTGGGTCTAAGTACGCATTGGACTTAGTAACCTCGGAACCGGGTTTGCATTGCAACTCATTAGAGAGTAAATCCTTGCTTACAAAAGCCTCGTTTTCTGATTTTCCATTTACGAGAGTTAGAGCCGTCTTCTCCTCACAGCGAGAAGCATAAACTTCATTCTTAGGATTGACCTGCCGTTCTTTATGCCCCATCTCCTTTTTCTTCTTCTTAACCAATGTACTGTCGTTTTGCTTTAAAATCGTCCCACTGGCAAGCTTGGCCAAACCATCTTTTTTATCCTCAAGGGAAAACACGGGTTTGGTTTCTCGTAACGGTTTTTCCCTTCTCGACAGCCCGAGAAGGCTATCATGAAGGGGTGATATCAATGCTCCATGAGGCACTGGCAAAGAAGTCATTGCCTGTTCAAAGGAGATAGAGAGAGAGAGCGAGCGGTAAGCCTATGGATGCAGTTTGAACTGAAAAATTAGAAAATCAGAAGAACCGTCACCTGAATTATCTTAGTCGGAGACTCGTCTGGTGAACTTTGAGAAATGGGCAGCATCCCTTCACTAACGTCGGAGCTGTTTTCCGATGACGACAATGGAGAGTCATCGAGTCCAAGGCCACTGTATATCGCTGCATTTTTCAATGCAGTGCTGTCAGAACCAACTTTGAGTCGAAATTTAAGCGATCTGTTGCTCATTGGACTGCCTAATCTGCCTGTGGCTTCATCTTTCGAGGGGTAGCTATTAGTAACTCTAGTAGCAGGTAAGAATGAATCTACCCTCCCAGAAGTTGTCCCTTTATTGTGAGAGGAAATAGCATTGCAGACAATAGCTCCCGACCTCTTCGGCAGCGGAGCTTTTGGATTCTGTGAAGAACCATGCACGTACACGGCCATACGACGATTAGTTACATCATTTATTATATTTTTTCACACACAACAGCGAAAATAACTGGAACAGATCTCATATACCTCCAAGGGCACATTAACTGGAGTTGGTGCTATTGCATTGCAGTCGCTTTGTTGATTTATATTGTGTGGCAAAATGGACGGAGCACGTTCGTACATAGGCAAAAATGAGCCATAACCACCATACTTTGCACCTAATAACAAATTGAAAACGATCTATCGTTATTTAAAAACCTCGGTTTGTGTCAACTTGACAGTTTGTGGTGTATGAATATGAAAACATGGCAACTCACCTAACTTTTCAGCTGAAACTCCACCTTCAAAGTCCTTTTGGAAATGACCAAGAAAACGCTCGATCTTCTCATCCTAGAAATATAATAATGGGATGTCTAGTTAGTTCACATGAGCAAAAAATTATGAATACTTAGGAGTAAATAAACAAACAAACACAATTTAACTTCTTTTTCTGCGCAACAAACACAACAAAAGTGCCAAAGGTCTTCCATTTAGGGATTATTTTCAAGCAAACAAAACTCATAATGTCATACAATTTTGAGTTCCATTTCATTTCATTTCAAAGTTCCATTGTTTTCCATAAGTTCACTTTACTTTGTTCCTCATGTTCTCTCCATCAATCGAACTCAAACATAACAATTTTAAACGGCTATGGAGGCTTACACCTCCTTTAAATCACAAGAAACTCACACCCTTAAGCAAACACGCTAAGGCTTAAAGTCTCTACGCCTCGACGAGAAGAATGATATCAATTCATCTAATTCTTCAAAATGCAAAAGTTCAAGTCGTGACAATATGAACTATTACTAAAGTATTGAACACAAATATTTATCTTAGAACTTCTGTTTAAGTAGCAATTATGTTTCAATTCATTCAATTATGTTTAGCAATACTTAATGAGTTTAGTTAAATATTTTAACCCTCAACCAATAAGCTAAAAATATTCAAATTTTGGGAGAAAACAAAAACTCTCCATGAACTTTCAAGTAATTTAGTTTACATTGATTTTTGTCACAATCCGGCAATGAATTTCTAAGAAAAATGGGCTTACAATGTAAGAGAGAGCAATGTCAGGGTCAATATCACCGCCATTTTCCTTGTGATAGCAAGAAGCTTCGCCTTCTTCCATGTCAATGCAATCCCCAATAATCATCGGCTCCACAGAGCCCACCATTAAATGTGAACCCAAAACCCTAGTTCCAATAATCATCTTCCCTAAAATCCAGTATCATTCTAATAAGAACCAAGAACAATAAAACACAGATTTAGCGAACCACTTCTCTCGCACCAAAAACAGAACAGAAACCCTTCTTCAGAGAAGCAGAATCCATACCGAATCCTCTTGAACAGGACGATCGCCCAAGGCCATCGTACTGTCGATGATGTTCGAGTAATCTTCAAAAGCCCCGAAGAAATTGAAGCCAAAAAGGTTCGATCGGGCTTTTGAAGGAGCTCGAACTAATTTCCCGCTTCTGAAACGAAAAATCGATGATCGTAGGAACGAACAAGAACTGGGGTTTGGATTTGCCGGGGTTTAATCCTAGATTTTCAAGTTCTTATATTATTCTGATTCCCGTCTGGGTTCCTAAAACAAAATTTTTCCGTCGGCCGTCTGATGAAAATGTTATTTCCGCCGAAAATTTCTCCGCCCTTTCTCTCTCTCTCTCTCTCCGAGTGTGGGCTTAATTCTGCTGCTACTCGGAGACGACGAGAGGCCTATTACCGCGTGGCATTGTTAATTCTCTCTTTTTTTTTTTTTCATGGTCCATTAATAATTTATTTTGAAAAATATATTCTTTTAATGGTAATTTGGTACAAATAAATTTAGGGTTTTGTTTTAACCCTAATTTTTTTTTAATAAATATTATGGGGTTGTATCAATTTTGCCTTTAATTTTTTAATTTTATTAAATTATACTATAAATTTAAATAAATCTTTCCATTTTTGCCTCAATTTTTTTTTTAATTTATTCACTAATTTTAAAAAAGTTTATAAACCTAATTTAAATAAAATAAATATTTTTTATAAAAATAAGTTTGATAAATACACAAATTAATAAATTTAAAAAAAAATCATTTTTCTCTAAAATTTTATGAATTATGTAATTTTTTATGTTCAACATTATATTATATTTTTATTTATGAAATATTTTCGTAATATTGTTGCCCAAGCAAATTTAAGGTAAAAGTACTCTTTGATATAAATATTTATTAGATTTAAAATTATTCTTAAATTTAATTATTGATTTTAAAAAACGGTTAAAGTTTATGGATTCAGTGTCGTCATTGGTAACGTAGAATAAATCTATAGATAGATTGCACGATCATCTAATTTAGGTATGTAATTGATTGAGATCGTGTCGGTTTAAAATTGTGTAGTAATTAGTTTTGTCGTTTATACAAATAGGTTAGTGTATTGAATCTATCGAAAATGATAAATTGGTTGATGAAACGTGTCCACTCATATTTTAAGTAGCCATAAATAACGACCAATTTAATAGACGTTTTCACTGTCAGTTTTTTTTTAACTAATAACTAAAACAAATCACTCTCAAAACTTCAATTACCACATTATAACGTCTCTTTCTTGTTTGACTTTTACTATAAAATTTAAAGGCGTGCATGTTAAAAATTTATCATGAGTCTTAGTTTGATTCGAGACTCCGTTACCCTGACATTCTCCCATATCCCGTACTACATGACCATACCCAAGACCACTTTCATTCAAACATGGTATTAGTTTATTCATATACCTCTCTCTTACTCGAGTACTACATGAGGTTACACGATACATAAAAAAGTCACTGTGTATCAACCCAAGCCCACCATTAGTATCTATTGATCACTTTAGCCGATTAGACATCACTGTCAGCCTCACGGCTTTAAAGCACATATGTTAGGGAGAGGTTTCCACACCCTTATAAGAAATGCTTCGTTTGACTCTCCAACCGACATAGGATTTCACACGTTGTCCTTATTATAACTAACAGCGTATTTTAAGGATCGAGTTACTTGTCTATTATAATTGGTACGATGAATCAAATCTACACGTAACATGATTTAATCTACCTAGAACATTGTGTCACAGGGGTTTGAGCGATGTCAATATCACGTGTCTCGAAAACGATGTCATGACACGTAGACATATAATATTGTGAAATGTAAGTATACATAATTGTTTCGGTTAAAAAAAATGTTTTAGTGGCCGAGTTTTTTTTTTTTTTGTGGTAAAATTGACAATTTATCCCTTAAAATTTAATTTATATCAATTTTTCTTAATATTTTAGCTTTATTTCATAGGAAGAATATTCTTTAATTAAGAAAATGTCTCAAATAATTCTAAAAGCATATTTTCTTTAATTATTAACAAAAATTGACAGCGAAACCCGTTACCTTTCACCGGTTTAGGCCGTCGACACGCGGTAAATCATGCTTTCGAACTTTTTAAAAATAATTAAATAAATATATATTTAATTAAAATTATTATTATTTTTAAATATAGTTTATTTATATTATTATTTCTCCCCCTCTACATCTCTATCAAACCCGCTTCTCTGTTCTAGGGTTCGAAGTTAGATTCCGATCATATCGCTTCTCCATTTCGATTCTCTCACCCACTCTCTATATTGTCTTCATCTAAATTTTCCTGTTTTTTCTTTGGGTTTTAAAAATTTCTGATTGGATTTAGGCTTACGAATTTTTGTTTTCCAGTTCGCATTTGCATGCGGTTCAAATTCGAAGGTGTTTTGCTTCATATTTTGGTGGGTTCTTGCTCCAGTTTATCTAGGGCTAGTTTTTTTCTTCCTGTTGTGTACAATTCCGCTCTTCTACGCAGGCAATGGCAGCTAGAACTTCTGATTTTTGATTGCCGAAGTCTGTTGTAGAATAATCTGGTTTATTCGGTTCCTTTTACTTTTGTCTTCCACGCTTGACGAATTTCTTTTGAGTTGAGTCTAGCTCGTTCGTTTTGGGGACGAACAAGTTATGAGATGTCAGATTTGTATATTTCCATATTGTAGCGTAATTTGCTCGAATTGATTTTACAGTGTATTGTGGTTTAAATTCATGGGACGCGGTAGAAGTTTCATTGCCTGAAGACTACATTTGGGGAATTCTCTCATCGATTGAGCGGCGGATGTTTGCTTCCAGTATGGATACTGTGCGGGACACAGCTAGAAATGCAGGAACGTTGTTAATCCCAATGCGGTTTGTCTGGCCGTATGGGGGAAGAAGTGTATTTCTCAGCGGTTCTTTTACCAGGTAATGTTCGGGAGTTCATGGTCTTTTGTACTTTCCGTACTTTCCTGCATGTGCTATGGTTGCGGAACGCATCAACTACGTTTGGATTTTCTATTTCAACATGCATGTATGAATTATGCTGTAAACGATTTTAGTAAACTTTAATTGTATTTTTGATGAAGGTGGTCGGAGCTTGTTCCTATGACGCCTATGGAGGGCTGTCCTACTGTTTTTCAGGCTATTTACAGCTTAACCCCTGGATATCACCAGGTCAGATTGTGGTGGTTGAATGGGACATTTTAAATTGTTCATGTCATTTTTAGCTGGATGCTGCATAATTTTGCTATAATCTTAGATGTTAATCTACTAAGCATTGAATATTAGTTGTTCTGCTTGAGTGAAGCTGGTGTTTCTCGAGGAAACGTGGCTTCCTGAAAGAATTAGATTAAGCTGAATTACAGTTATTTTGGCTTCTCTGACAATCTTATGTAAATGGCGGAAGTAGATCAAGGTCAGAATGTGAAGGAAAGAACTATAATAAGCTTCACTGTGCATGTGTTTTGCGATTTTTTTTTTTTTTTTCCATTCGTTGTTTCTCATTATACTACGTAATATTATCTATCTTTTTATCCATATTCATCTCATATGCACAGCTATTATTGATTGCGATGCCATTACTATGTACTCCAACAATGAGAAATTGTTCTGCTGAGCCATTGATTTTTTAAAGAAATTTATGTAGTTTTGTTATACTAATGTTCGCACAAGGGTTCTCTTGCATGCAGTATAAATTTTTTGTTGATGGAGAATGGCGGCACGATGAGCAGCAGACTTGTATTTCTGGTGAATATGGGGTTGTAAACACTGTTCTCTTGGCTACAGAGCCTAGTTATGCTGCTCCACTTGCCAATCCAGAGATGGCCCCTGGATCTAGCATGGATGTGGATAATGATGCTGTCCGTCGCTTGGTTAGAATAATATATACATTATTGCTCATTTCATTGTATTCTGTTATGCCATAGAGTAAAGGAAGTCGAGAATTGTGGTTTTTATTTAACTGTTTGATCTATGATTTTAATCAATTGACGAAAATGCACAATTACTATTTCCTGCTCGAGCCTTTTATTTCCAGCTAGCGATTTGTTTTCCTTTTATTGCACTCTAGGATAGTAGTAGTTTTAATATGAGTTATTTCTCTGAAGTACTTAAACGGCCTGTTATTAATGGAATTCCTTGTCGGATTAGGTTATTGATGAATCTTACTTTTATCTACTGGGATTTCTGTTACACTCTCACTGTTGCTTGTATTAGCTAATTGAAATTTTCTTGTTATCATCCAGGTCCGAATAAATGATGGACGATTGTCAGAGGCTGTGCATAGTATATCAGAGGCTGATCTGCAGTGCTCCCGTCACCGCATATCTGCATTCTTGTCCACACATACTGTTTACGAGTTGCTCCCGGAGTCAGGCAAGGTTTGGATTCTCCATCTTCTAAACTTTTGTTTGATAACATTTTTTTATTTGTTTTATCCCTTAATGAGAGTACAATTATGTTACAGGTTGTTGCTTTGGACATTGACTTACCTGTGAAGCAAGCTTTTCATATATTGCATGAGCAGGCATGTCTTTTTTCTCCTTCCCTCACGTCCCCTCCGTTTGGCTGGTCGAGAACCCATACAACTGTTAATCTCTGTGCTTGAAGGATAAAATAAAATCTTTCACTTTTTGGCCTTTCTGTGGTATTTTTTCCTTCCTGCTTTTTGGAGACCTAAAAAATACATTTCATTATGATCCATAGGTTGGGTTGGAAAAAGTGCTTTAGAAATTCCCATGTTGAAATTTGGTTGGGAGGGATGGTTGCATGTTCTTTGATTTGATCTTTTAAGTAACAAGTTATATGTTAGAAGTTAGTCTATGTTTGTACAGATCTCTTCATGCCCTTTTCCACAAATGAAAAAATTGGAACATTTCTTGTTATCCTTTTTATCACCTATTGATTTATGTTTTGGCGCTCAAGAGATTTGGATTTATACCTTATCTTTATTAACTCTTTACAGGGTATCCCAACAGCTCCTCTTTGGGATTTCAGCAAGGGGCAATTTGTTGGAGTTCTCAGTGCTTCAGATTTTATTTTGATATTAAAAGAAGTATGTGTAGAAGCCATTTTCTCCTTGCATTTTATCGCTCTCCCTAATTGGCGTTTAAATTGCTGATGATATTTTTGAATCTTTGTTTTGAAGATTTTCTGAAAATTCTCAAGTTATCAGCATGAACATTTCACTGACAGGATTTATTGTTTGGATTTATTTTGTTTGGGCATCATAGACATGCTTACGGAATTGTTGATCTTTCTCTTCATTTATATTTTTGTAGTTATTCATTTTCTTTTCAAATATGCTAATTTAAATTCAAATAGTAGCTTGGGAAGCGTGGCTCAAACCTGACAGAGGAGGAGCTTGAAACACATACTATATCTGCTTGGAAAGAGGGTAAAGCATATTTGAATGGTCGAGTGGATGGGCAAGGAAGATTCTTGTCAAGACAGTTCATTCACGTGAGTAATATGTGGCACCTTTGAATTTTTGCATGTAGTCTTTTTGGAATCAATTGATGCTACTGTGACCTAATTCTTCCAGAATTTTGATTGATAGTAATTACCGAAGAGAAACCAATTATTACTTTCTTATATCTCCATCATAACTTTTCCAAATTCTTCACTTGGGTTACCAATTAACAAATTCTTCAAATATGTAACTCATTCCTTAGATGAAATGTGATATCACGACCTTGTCATTTATAAACTCTTAATATCAAAGGTCTTGACTTTCTTTTGGACAGAGCACAGATCTTTTGAACCACAATTACATAGATTTATATGGAAGTTCCTAATTTTAGATATCAGAGAGTTGAACTGCTTTAGCATCGTGTTTAAGTGGCCTGATTTCCTGAATTTTAAGTTAAATCATTTTCCTACTTTGAATTATTAATTTAAACTGAAAATTCTGTTAGCTAATGTCATAAGTCCATATGCACCTCCGATGTATGATTAAAGGTGAAATTGCACTGTTTACTCTGGTGTAATCTCCCTTTAAGTTGTTTTCTGAAATCGTTTTTTATTTAAAATTTTATGAGAGGGTCTTTGCACAAACCTGTCAGAAGGTTGTGTTAACATTGTTGTTATTATTGCTCATGTAGGCTGAACCGTTTGATAATTTGAAAGATGTTGCTTTAAAGATCTTGCAAAATCAGGTGGCTACAGTTCCCATAATTCATTCATCTGCAGAAGATGGATCGTTTCCACAATTGTTGCATCTTTCTTCACTTTCTGGAATACTAAAATGTAAGTGTTTTCCAAATTTCTTATTTTAAAACGGAGCTTCCCCTGATATTAAGTAGTGGGTGTTAGTTTCCAGGTATCTGCAGGTACTTTAGGCATTGTTCCAGCCTGTTGCCTGTGCTCCAACTGCCAATTTTTGCAATTCCAGTTGGAACATGGGTCCCAAAAATTGGAGAATCGAATAGAAGACCATTAGCTATGTTGAGACCTAGTGCTTCCCTTAGCTCAGCGTTAAACTTACTGATTCAAGGTTTGCACTCCAACTTCCAGTAGGATGGTTTTACATTAGTGGTTATATTAAGATTGGTAGCCTTTCCTTATAAGAAGAGGGACTGCTTTTGTGGATAACTAAATGGATCCTAGTAAAGTTTCTTCCAGATCTGGTCTTCTTTTTGGCCATCCAACACTCCCATGACCCATCTAATGCTGCAAAATGATGAAGTCCAAATTATGAAGGGGATAAAGTTATGTAATTGTTTTAGATTACGAACTTAGATGGCAAATGGAGAGATTATAACTTTACATTATCCTGCTAGTTTGATTAAGTTTGTGTGCGCTCTTTTATGTCCGTTACATTGGCACCTTTCACGTGCTCATGGACCATATTTGTTTTTGTGGATAGGTGTGCTTTCTTCCCCGGAATAACCTGATAAGTGTGGAGTAGATCACATTTAGTCTCTAATAGTAGGTTTATGTGGATATACTAACTTCAAAAAAGTGGTGTTCATTGTAAAAATGAATTTTCATAAGAAGGGTAGGAGAGCTTCTACCCAGGCTAAGGAAGTTACTGTAAAGTGTTCCATTTTGGCATAAAGAGTAGTTAAACTGAAGTTGCAGAAAGATCTGAACAATCTCACACCGAGTTATACCTATTAAAATCATATATCTTGGAAAACAGCCCCCACCAACCCACCGCACAAACACAAAAGTTCTGTTATTTCTCTTTCTAATTTTAATTTGATCTTTCGTTTGGGATGTTGCTTTAACAATGGTGTGTCGATGGCTTTTGGAGGGCTTCTTTTGTTGTATTTGGCAAGAACGTGTCATTATTTAAGATCGTTTATTGACACTATGAAAGGAAATAGGTTGTCTCTGTATTTGGTTTTTTATCAATTCCATTTGACATAGCATTCTGCTACTTGCAGCTCAAGTTAGTTCGATACCCATAGTTGATGACAACGATTCATTGCTGGATGTATATTGCCGAAGGTTATTTCCTGCAACACCTTTCGTTATATTTAATATTCTGGTTTGTTGGAATGAAGCTGTCTCTGATATCGTTACTATATTTTTTTTTTTACAGTGATATAACAGCTCTTGCGAAGGACAGAGCTTATACACACATTAATCTTGATGAAATGACCATTCATCAGGTAACTTGTTTCTCCATCCCCTTTCACCATATTTTGAATACATGTTATCAGTTGAGGACATTTTTTCAATTCTTTTGATCCCCTTTTCAGTAGCTGTAGGGATTTATCTCAGGTTTCTTTTCTCGTATTTTGTTCTTATTTCCTTTTTGTATAAATATTTTTATTGTGTTTTTAATGAGAAATGGAACTTTCATGGAGAAACATATACAAAAGAGCTCAGCCAAACTAGCTTGGATCTAAAGCTTATAACTTGTGTCAATAGCCGTTTTTTATTTAATCATTATTTTGTTTTTGTAAAAGAAGTTTTGGGGTGGTGTCGGGGTTTTTCCTTTTCTACCAACTCAATGGAACGAAACCTATAACATTCTAAAAAATATCAAAAGGTTGATTTCAAGCTAATTATTGTTATGTAAAAAAGGTCTAGTTATTTTTAAGTTGCCCGCTCGTGTTAATGCAATCGATCTCTTACCCAGATCAGCTCCTGTTAATTACAATCCGATGTGAAATGAAATGGTGGTAACTTGTTAGTATTGCTATTAAATCAATAATCTGTTTTTTCCATTGCTCTTGTATCTGATTCCTTTCAGGCATTGCAACTTGGACAAGATTCTTTCTCTCTTTATGAGCCACGAAGTCAACGATGTCAGATGTGTTTGCGATCCGACTCGTTGCATAAAGTAATGGATCGTTTGGCAAACCCAGGTAGATAGATAACTGTCTGTCTCTTGTTCATTCTTCTTCTATTACATGGGGCCTTGATCGAACTTTGAAGAAGCAAACCCCATTCCTTAATTACGAACTTTCAGGTGTTCGACGGCTTGTAATTGTGGAAGCTGGCAGCAAACGAGTAGAAGGGATTATTTCGCTAAGTGACGTTTTCAAGTTCTTGCTTGGTTAGTCAAAAAAGCATTGAGGATAAAGAACGAAGGACGATCCCAAGGGGGGGTTTGTGCAAAAAAAAAAGAGATGATGCGTAGAGGAGGATTGTACACTATCCATCTGCATAGTTGTTAGTGATGGGGAAGGACTTTGTCTTCTTCATTTGATTGGGTTTAGCCTCTCACTTCCATCGCCTGGCTTTTGAAGGAATTTTAGGGTGGAGTGGAGAAAAAAGAGAGGGCCACAGTACAAAAAAGAAAAAAAAAAAAAAAAAAAGGTACAATTGGGAGGGAGGACTTGAATAGCGTTCAAATTTCTCAACTCCCCCTTTTCCATTTATTATTATTTATCAGTTTATTATGAAGGCCTTGCCTTGATTGCTACTAATGTAGATTATCAGGATTGTTATCAAGCTCTGTTCTTTCCTCACCTGAAGAGAAAAAAAAGAAAGAAAAAAAAAAAAAAAAAA